GGACGAAATGATCCTAGGGGGGACTCCCAACCTACAAGCAAGAGCCACTTTGGTCTTTTTGACATAAAATGTCATAAAAGGAGTGTATACAATAAATTAAATCAAGTGATGCAATTGGCAGAGCACAATCATAAATCCTGAACAATACGCCAATATATATCATCTATCCCTCGTAGCTCTCCGGATGATGATTAATCACTCTACACTCGACTGTCGCGTGACTTTTTCAACCCGTTCTCTAGCTGGTTCTGAACGACTTTTCGAAACCCTAACCCTCTAATCTGATCCCAACCCTAACCCTAACCCAATCCTTAACAAAAACATATGCTGAAACCCTAACCCTAACGAGAAATTAGACTAACTTCCTTATACGGTCATATCACGTGATCGAGACAGTTTTTCGCCAATATCTCGTCAGGGGAGCATTTTAACCCTATGTCATGAGGGGTGATTCGGAATCAGCGTACGAAAATACATCGATTGAAATTGGTTACAACCGTCGGGGGGCCCTTTTAGAACAATCTCGAAGATCGACTGTAGAGTGATTTAGCACGCTCGTAGCTCTCCTCCTCGGGTATCAGGTTGAAGGAGACATTGTTTATAGGGTCGGTCCATGCCTTCTTTGCCTTTCCACTTTGGTCTAATTGCTGTGAGGTGTCTCAGCTACATAACATGGGTTGGGGGTCCCCCTTTTTTCTTTTTTTTAATATACCATCTTAAAACGACTCAGTGATCAGGAGAGTTGTTAGCGAGCTTTATGGAATAGCTAAGTTAAGATTTCAAATTTTAAACGCCTTAGAAGAAATCTGTGTAACTCTCAAACAAATTGATATCAATTAGACGATCCTTTCAGGCCGAAAACCATTTTGGTTGTATTTCGTAGACGTGGTTCTATGTGGCTCCTGATGCGGTTGAGAAGTAGCCTGTTGTAGATCTTCGTGGCAACAGGCAGGATGGAGATGCCTCTACTGTTCTCAGGGCAGAACCTTTTATTACCTTTAGGTATAGGGAGGATGGCGGTGACTAAGAGCTCCTCTGGGGCTCTACCTGTAGCAAGCATGTTGTTGAACACCGTACCGTCTACAAGACCAACCTGCTCAGCAACTCCTTTTCTGGCAACTTCTTTTCTGGCAACCCTCCTATACTATGGCCATCAGTATAGAGGACGACCACATAAGACCTTTCAGGACGTCCTACAAGAAGATACTGGATTGGATCCTGATAAGTTACGTTGGCTCATGAGTGATAGAGATAAATGGAGAGAAGCGCTGTCACGAAACTCGTTCCAGATTTCACTTGGATCGACCTAGGCAGGCAAACAATCCGATCGCATAATCTACCATTAATTTCTTCATCACAAACATAAATTGTTAATTTTCTGTGAATTTCTTTTTTGAGATGCCCAGAGAGGCATTAATTTTGCTCTAACCAGAGCCCTCTCGCTTGCAGTAGCGCGCGACCGCCGAATGCGGCACAGGAAACAAGCGCGTCATGCAGTATACACATGGCTATGTGAAGCATTATTTATAATGTTATGTTACAAGTCCAAAAAAGTTTATTTGTACTTATTCGATATTTTGTTTCCCTCCTACCTTGTAGCGCGATGCATTACTGTGCCGCGCCGCGCACTCAATGAGGCTTCTCACAGCAACATCGCTAGATCGGCGAGATGCGCTACTGTGCCGCGCCGAGCTGCGATGAATTGATATCGTCAATTAACCTACTACCTACAGTACAAGCTCCTGAATTAGGAAAACAACTCATTGATATTATTGATTAATGAGATCATTCAAAATAACTAATAATATTTCTACTTCATTGCAGTCCTGGTGTATGTTGTCCATTGTTAAGGGGCCATCTACTTAGAAGGTCCGGCAAATAGGGAGGGGGGTTTTGGAATTTCGGACAAATCTGGACAGGGGAGGGAAGGTGGTTTCTAAAAATCCTGACGTCTACAAATTTGAAATTTTGGCAGAATTTACGAAAAAGTCCCATTAATTTTAATTCTTTGACACTTATTACTTAATGAATTTGTGATTTGAGTTGGTTTTATTTGTAGTAGCTGGAAATATCCGGACGTGCGGGGGAGCGGGGTGGTTTTCGAAAATTAGGACACACCCGGACAGGGGAGGGCGGGGGTGGTCTGCAAATTTGCGATTTTGACGAACGTCCTAAGTGGATGGCCCCTAATCACTAATGCTAATAGACTAGCCCGTAGCACTATTTCGTTTACCTGGGGACCTCAGGCTATGTTTCAGGATCATGTTTATAATTATCATGTTTATTATGATTAGGTGGAATGACAGGCTGAGCGCGGCCCAGTAATATTTCGTAGCATGTAGCACTTGCCTCGGGCTAATTCATTTCGAGAACAGAAAAGAAAGTGGCTCGCGCTATTTCTGTCAAGATGAATGCCGTCCTAACAGTTTACTTAATTGACGATGTCAATTCATCGCAGCTCGGCGAGGCACAGTCTAGTAGCGCATTTCGCCGATCTAGCTGTGAGAAGCCTCATTGAGTGCGCGGCGCGCGGCACAGTAACGCATCGCGCTACAACAGTTTACATAACTATCAACTATGATGTATGAGTCTTTGCGTATTTGGTCATCGTTACTACTATACGTACTACTATACTGTATATATGATATACGTGACGCGCCACCGTAATTAAGCGTGAGGGCTCTAGTTTACTGGGCCGCGCTCAGCCTGTCATTCCGCCAAATCTTTATTCTGTTAAATGAACATAATAGCCTGGGGTCCTCAGGTAAGGCTCTAGTTAGAGCAATTTTAACATTAATTGATGATGTCAATTCTTTGCAGCTCGACTTGGCCCAGGCCCAATGGTGCATTTCGCCGATCTAACGAACTAGTGTGGGGTGCGACTAGATTTTGACCGTTATGTATACATTTGTAAATGCTGATTTCGATTTTAATACTAATAGTAACTGTAACCAAAATGTTGACGGATGTTCAATGTTACTCGTCTAAATTTCTTCGAAGTAGCGCGCGCCGGGCCAAATCATTAACAATGGTCAGATCATTAACAATGGTCAACCAAAATGTAATTAGATCGAACGTAGAAATTAGATCGAACGCAGGAATTGGATCGAACGCCGGCGCGGCTTTCAATGTATTTATATTTATATATATACATCCTTTTTAAATCCGCTGGAGCTTAGTCATTAGTATTTAGTTTATTTATTTTATTTAACATGATCTTAGCCTATAAACCCGTGTTTAGTTTACAATATTGCTATCAGAGACGTGTTATATTCATTACTATTTATATATTTTTACTACTTGATTCAGAGAAATCTAGCTTTTTCCGAGAAACTAATCTTTAATAGATTAGATAAAATGTACACAGCCATTCTTTTCGTTTGATTATTACTCAGTATATTTTAGTTTTGTACCGTTTTAAGTCACATAGTTTTGTACGTCTTCCTAAGACTTGTTTTCCTTTCCTAGGATGATTGTATTGAGCTGTCGGTTGAGGGTGAACCCGTCGAGCAGGTTAGCAACTTTGTCTACCTGGGTGCAACTATTAGTGGGGATGGGACAATCAACAGAGACCTGGATGTCCGTATCCAGAAGGCTAATGGCGCCTTTCATCAGCTCTGGAACATTTGGAATAGCAGAACTATAAAGACTCCAACCAAGATCAGGATCTATAGGGCTGCTGTCCTCACCATCTTGTTGTATGGAGCTGAAGTCTGGAACACAACCAAAAAGCAGATGAAACGTTTCGAGGTTTTCCATCAAACCTCCTTGAGAAGGATCCTTAGGATTAAATGGTTCTTTCATGTAACCAACGACGAAGTTCTTAGGAGGGCTGGCATCAAGTCAGTTGAGACTTTCATCAGTGCTGCCAGGCTACGTTGGTATGGACATGTAGTTAGAATGCCAGACTCTAGACTACCGAGGTTTCTGTTGAACTGGAAGCCAAACTATGGAAAGAGGTCAAGGGGTAGACCCCGTAAGAACTGGAAGTCCTGCGTACTCGAAGATGCTGCTAAGTTTACAGGTGTTGAAAACATCGACAACGACACAACAGAAGCTTTGGCTACCAACCGAGTACAGTGGAGACATATGTTACGCCGCCAACGCGATGTGTGTGATGCAGGCCACTCCAACGACTAGGAGGAGACCTTACCATGTAACATGTAACATGTATGTAGTTTGTAAGTTATTTTAAAGATTTGTGAATATTCCAGTTGCTTTTAGAACAATTTTATCTCAGATACAAGATAACGATGTTTAATAAAATGATGCAAAGACTTATTTCGAAGATCTAATCAACACCGACTTTTAATGTGTAGTGTAGGAGTACAGCAACAAAATATATATATATATATATATATATATCTCGCGCCGCCGTTGATCTAATTCCTGCGTTCGATCTAATTTCTGCGTTCGATCTAATTATATTTTGGTTACAGTAAGTACTCAAAGTTAAGGTGCACAAATTTGTACTTCAAATCTTCATAATTATATTATGATTTCTATGCTATGTAATAGGTTTTATTCGAAATCAACGTAAAAATACATTGGTATAGCTTATATTACTTTCACAACCTCACAGCTTACTCAGAAAACAAAAACGTATAAGGATGTCCATAGAACGGTCCAAATCTAATCGCCACATCTTGGTGACACAGACAGGTAATGTTCACCCTGTCCATATTCCGCCGCATCTACTATCTGTTTAAATGACTATAGCCTAAAACATAAAAAATGATGAGGTCCCCAGGCAAGATTTATTTAATGATCAATTCGAGCTGCAACTGCAAGCGCTTTTCCAGCGGGTCATAGTTGTGTAAAATGGCAGATTCCAGGCTTAATAAATGAACAAATTTAATCATTATTTCAATTGGGTCGACATCAAAAACAGCAATTATCGTGTCTGTTTATGTGGACCTCACTCAGCAGAAAAGTACCTATTTTCCCAGCATCAACTGCATAATACTTAAGTCTTTAATTGTACAATGAAAACGATTCACTTTTAGCCAATACATAATTTTGTCGAACAAGTAACAAAATAGACAATTCAATTCAGAATAATATTATACAGGGAGTTAATATCCATCTTTCTGCTTTTATCTGATACGCTGTTAATCGCTGGTTTAATGTTAAATGCACAGAGTTGAGCACAGCATGAGCATCACCACAATAAACAGCAAATGATGAACAGATTTAACGGCAGTTTCCGAAATGAGAAAAGATAAACAAATAAAACAATTAAAAAGCTGTTTACTCAATTCCAACAGTGTCAGGTGGTAGTACTATCCGATGGTCAGTTCACAATTCAGTGGAGATGATGAAAGTTTAGTAGCCGCCACCGCCGCCATATCCACCACGAGAGCCACCGTAACTTCCGCCGGTCCTGGCGCCGCCGCCGCTGCTGCCACCATAACCACCACGTCCACCTTGAACAGAAAAAGTTTCAAGGGATTGACTCTGGTAGCGGACTTACTTTATAGAACAAAGGGAGGGGGGATGCAACGACCATTAATGACCATTAATGACCATTAATGACCATTAATGGCCATTAATGACAATGTCAGTTTTGTCAAAATTTCATCTACTGACATTAATGGTCGTTGCATCCCCCCGAACAAAGCAAGCATTATTATAAATAGAGATAAAAGCAAATTTCTTTCCAAAATTGGAAACGTATACATTATACAAATCACAATAATTGATCGTAGGTAGTGTGCCTTATCAATAATATGAACGAAATCCATTAGTCAAGACTTACCACTGGATCCACCTCTGGCTGAACTTCCAAAGCCTCTTCCTCTTTTGGCAAATCTATCTCCACCTCCGCCGCCAAACTTCCTCTTTTCTGTTGAAGCGGGTATTCAAAGTCCAATAATAGGGATCATGGAACAGGATATTTTTAAACACATATCTAGCTTTCATTTTAGACTTCACGTCTCCCGAAATAAAACTGCGAACAAAGTGAAACAAGGAACTAAGTAAACTTTAAAACCAAATTTTCGTCACGCATTGGACTTTATCAAGGTTACACCTTTATCTAATGTAACCTTGATAAAGTCCAATGCGTGACGAAAATTTTGTTTTACAGTTTACTTAGTTCCTTGTTTCACATTGTTCGCAGTTTTATTTCGGAAGACGTGAAGTCTAAAATGAAAGCTAAATTCGTCTCAAACTCACGCTCAGCCTTAAGATCTATTAACACATATCAGCAATTCACAGATTTGTGAACTATTAATGAAGATTTTATAATTTAGATCAATGGGCGACTCACCGCCACGACCGCCGAATCTGCCACTTGTTTGGGCCAGTGTCCGCAGATCCTCAGGGACCTTCTGACCGGACTCTTCTAAGATTTCTATCAGGCTCTTCACCATCTTGCCATCTTTGTTAGTCATGAATGTGTAGCTAGTACCGACGTCGTCACCTCTGGCGGTTCGGCCTACTCTGTGGACATAATCCTCGCAACTTTGAGGGAAGTCGTAGTTGATCACGTACCTTACGTCCGTAATATCTGAGTTGAATAATATTTGAATATATATTCATACGTAGCATCTATACTCGATAGTTTATATCAGATTTTCGACACAGGACATCAGCAAACGTAGACAAAGTTTTGTCATTTGCTAATTGTTTGAAATAACTGTATAAAGTGACGTTTCTTCTTTAAATTATTTTGTCAAGTCGAAAATACACATCCATATCTTATCTTTCACTGTCAACCTTATTAATTAAATAACTACCTGGATGACATATCATAACTGATTTTGATTACTAGTCTCAGACGTAACATATTCTATAATGTATCCCCCCAAAATCTTACAATGGTCCAATGTCGGTCTCATTGACGTCAAGTTTACGCCCTCAAGTTTGTGATAAATGCAGTTGACACCGTGTTAACAGTCGGTGCAGTTGGATTTAATCAAATTTTGACTTAAAACACCAGTCTTACATCACTATTCCTGTGACACTCTGGCGGCCTTAATAACCATAGAAATAGTGATGTAAGAGCCTCAACATAGAACTTGTAAGATATCCGCCAAAAATATCTAAATAAGACCGGACAAAGTGCATGAAATTGCAAATTCAGTTTTATCGCAGGCACATCGAAAATCAGTCATAACTACAGGGTGCCCAGAAGTAACTACCCACGCAACCCTCTAATAACGTAATTCGTATCAGAATTGCTAACCAATTTCAGAGAATAGAGATATTATATGAGGTAAACTTAGATTTCCTGAAAATTTCGTAAAATTTCATCGATTACAGAGGTTGTGGCATGCCACTCCCTCTTTTTCTCTATTGCCACCATAAAGTGAGGACGTTTTGAGTTAGTAACTCCAATATAGTGGGCAACAATGATCCTCATAAGGCAGTACCGAGCATGTTGGGGGATGACGATATGATCACTTTAAGTGAATACTGATTGTGACTTTCCTTAAAATCAAAGAAATTTACGTTATAGCGCTTCGGTTGCTGTCCTATGAACAGGTTCCAACCAATCAGGCCATTGATTGAGTGAATAAATCACATATAATTAAGTGCCGGGATCATGTATCCGCCAGATCTTAAAATGATCATTACTCGGCTTAGTTGAAAACAACCAACTTGAAATTTTGATAAAGCACTTTAATTATTAAACCTAATGTGTCTGGAAATTTTGAAGTCCCTAACTCAAAACGTTCTCACTTTATGGTGACAATAGAGAAAAAGAGGGAGTGGCATGCCACAACCTCTGTAATCGATGAAATTTTACGAAATTTTCAGGAAATCTAAGTTTAACTCATATAATATCTCTATTCTCTGAAATTGGTAAGCAATTCTGATACGAATTACGTGAGTTATTTAAGGGTTGCGTGTGGGTAGCTACTTCTGGGCCACCCTGTATATTGTGAAACATCTGCTTCAATGAGCAGGGGAAAAACTGGATCGTTTGCAATCGAGGGTGGATTTAGAAAACTTAACTACATACCTAACTATCTACTTGAATGGAAACCCAAGCATGGGAAACGATCAAGAGGCAGGCCTAGGAAGAGCTTAAATGATGTATTTATTGAAGATGCTGAGCAGAGATTGGATCGTAATGGACTCACGATTGGTTGTATGAGAAGATTGGCTGCAGATCGAAAAGGATGGAGAAATATTACCCGCCGAAGTTGTATAATACAAAGTAATGACGCAGATGACGCAGACTAATCCTTTTGGATGGAGATCTCGCCATGTAACATGTATGTAACTACATACTAAGGTATCATGGTATTTCCCCGTTTTTTTGTTGCACAGTAGATTTAAAACGATGGGATGGTATACACTATGCAATATGTAATATGTAATATGTATATCTGCCACACACATTGGACATTTAATTACGAATATTAAACGACGAATCGACAATACAACAGTTGCATACTCTATTTTAGAGACCAAACCAGATCTGGCCTAGTACATTATAAACATAGCCTGTTCCCAAAGTTTGGACACTAGATGGTTTTCAGATTAGATGCCTTAGCTTTCTATATTTTCAGTTGGCAACAGTTATGGGAACTCTAAACTCTGGCAGGCCATATTTCGCAGCCTCTAGTCAGTTGATCTTAGTTTACCCTCGGGCCTAGTTCAGTAAGAATGTCTGGAAGGTGAGTTCGGGGAGGTTTCACGAGGGTCAGATGTGGCCCTCCATGACGTAACTAGAGTTTAAAACCTCCCTAGAGGACTGACGTAGTGTGTGAGAGCTCCCTAGCAACCTCCCACAAAAAGTTTCATTTCCTTTACGCCCTCCTAGAATTTCCACTTTTAAGGATCGAATCATATTAGAGATTCGAAATATTGTGCGCGCGGCTTTGAAATGCTCAAAACGTTGTGTTCTCCACAACAAAAGTCATGGTTTATTGCTAGTCGCGCAGGAGATGTCGCAAAGATGTCCCACGTTGACGGCCGTTGACGTAACTGTCACGGCGAGAGTACGCGTTCCGGAAGTTACAATTCTGGTTCGTCCATTTAGATTCGTTAATATTCTCAATATATCTAATGCATGACATTAACGCAATGATATGAACTTATTGTCCAAAGCAAATGCAACAAATTCCGCAGGACATTTCCCCTCATAGAAACCATTGTCTCCCAGACAATCTTCAATTAGCCCAATTCCATTACTGCAATCCAGAGGGGGAATGTCTCAACATAAAATATTTCAAAACACTTCATATTGGGAAGGAGGCATGGACCCACAGACAGATATAAATGAAATGGAAACAAAGTTCACTACACATTGTCCGCTCATAACTCCCCATTTCGAGGAGGGCGTAAGATTTGGTCTGGTTGTGTAGCGAACTTGACCTACTCGACATTGAGACCATTTTAACGTTTATCGATTATGGAGCCGATTGCCTAAAAATTCTAAGCCTGAGTGCACACGGTACACACAATTTTCCAAATATGGAATAACCGGTTTGACCGGTCAGAATAAGAATCCGTATTGAGGTCTTATCTTATTACGTGCACCACGTACACATAAATTAGCAAAATTGAAGTTGTTTGGTCTCAATTGGGAGGGGTTTCCATTTTACCTTGAACTGTCTAGAACCTTGGAGAGTTCAGGAATTTCATCCTGAAGCATTCCAAAGATTCCACATTGGTTGTATAGATCACAGTGCCTCCACTCCTGAAATGTATGCGCTAGTCAAAAATCTTTAACAACAATATTCAACAAATAAATATCATGCGAATCATAAATGCGTATAGCGAAATCTTTAAAACGATTCAATAGGTCAAGTTTAGATACTCGATACAGCATAATTTTGAAATAATCTTTAATTCATCCCAAGCTTCAGCTGAATTTCCAAGACATGACCTGGCTGTCCTGGCGTTTGTCATGAGAGTCATTAAGACTGACGCACAAACTTTGGCAGATTATCTCATAGTCCAAGTTATCGTGTTATAGAACGAAATTCTGTTAAAAATGATAAAAGTAAACGTATAGTCAGGGGACGTTTAGTTTGCGAAGAGTCGGATCACAAAACAGTTATCTAGACAAATCCTAGAAAGTTAGACCTGCAGCGATTGCTCAATCTAGTAGCTTTGGGTGTACACTATACGGCTATAATTTGAAGCTATCGCACAGTGTTATACCCGTATTTGAACTTGGGTGTCACCGGTAACTATAGCTGCCTTATTTTTCGGATTTGTTGGTACACACTCGAGCATGTAACGTTGAGTTACACAAATCCTATCAGATGTGAGATGTGTCCGTCCAAATCATCACCTGCCTACAGATTACAGACCTAATAATAGGCCAATAATGGGCTCACACAATGAGAAAGTTGTAACATAGTTGAGAATTATTGATTAACTCACCTAATCCTCGAGCAGCAACATCAGTTGCTATCAATATGTTCATACGACTGTCACGGAACTCTGAAATAATTCGGAAAATTAGAAAAATGGACTTACGTCAAAATTTCTGATACGCAAACGTTAAATCATGGGATACGTACTTGAATTTAGTCACACTGAATGTTCTGCCTCAAAAGCGTAGGCACTAGATTTCCCTTCAGGACTTAGGATACACGTCCGAATATATCGTGAAGTGCTCAGAAGAGCCGTTTCTTAAACTTACGTCCGAGTACCCACTCTCTCTCCTCCTGCTTCTTATCACCATGGATAGCTCCAGCAGACCACCCTTGTCTTCGCAGGGTCCCTGAGATTTCGTTAGCCATCTTTTTAGTTCCGGTGAAAATGAGAGTTTTGTTATCTGTTTGAGAGTGAATCTCGTTTAAGAGCTGATACAATCGGTCGAATTTCTCCCAATCTTGAAGAACGTCGACTATTTGGAGGATGTTTCGGTTTGCTGATAACTTCTGGGATCCAATGTAAATCTGCGGAGGTTTGAGGAGATCATTTTGAGTAGTATCATTTACAAACAATGAAGCTACAACTACAAAAAGAGAACTACAAAAAAATCGTAATGCATTCATGATACGGTTGGGAATGAAGAATACAATTCAAGATAGAGATTGGTAGGATAATTCAGTTAAAACAGTAGTTTCCAAGTGATGTATTCAACAAACCTGGGAAGGGTTAGTCTGGAAGTCTCTAGCGAGAATCTGTACGTCTTTAGGCCATGTAGCACTCCACAATAGAGTCTGTCTGTCAGGTCTGACTTGAGACAAGATGGTTCTGATCTGAGGCTCGAAGCCCATGTCCAACATTCTATCTGCCTCGTCCATCACCAGGTAGGTACATCTCTGAAGGTTTGTCTTGCCCATGTTTAGCAGGTCTATGAGTCGGCCGGGAGTAGCCACAACAAGATCAGCTCCTGACTGCAGGTCTCTGATTTGTTGGGATTTTGGGGCTCCACCGTACAAGCAGGCAGTTTTAAGATTAGCTAAGTTACCGAACTCTTCACAAACTGCCATCACTTGCTGTGCTAACTCTCTGGTGGGACACAGCACCAGAGCTATTGGTCCTTCTCCAGGATTGAGCGCAGGTTGTGCGGCTATGTGAATTATAGCTGGTAGAGCGAAGGCTAACGTTTTCCCAGATCCTGTTCTGGCAATACCGATCAAATCTTGACCAGAGAGAGCGATGGGCCATCCCTGGCCCTGGATCGGGGTTGGGGCTTTAAATCCTAGCTTGTTAATAAGACTCATTATAGCTTGGTTAAAGCCAGCTTCACTGAAATTAATAATGGGGTTGATGCACTTGGGTGGGACTGTGATCTGATTTTGTCGTCTGTAATTTTCTATTTCTGCAGGAGATCTGCTGGAAACAGCGGGGTGCTCGTTGTAGAAGTTCTTCTGGAAAGGAATCAGGTTGTAACTGAGCCAATCTATAGCCTTTAGATCATTAGGAATGTTAGTCTTTGACTTGCCCCCTCCAAAGTCACCACCACCACCATAACGGCCACCACCGCCGCCTCCATAACCACCGCCGCCTCCACCAAAGCGTCCACCACCACCGCCTCCACCGGATCTTCCTCCACTCCTGCCTCCACTTCTACCACCACTTCTACCACCAAATCTGCTCATTGCTGTGCTGCAGGAGTATTATTATTAAAGCAATAGTGCAACTGTTATTTGAAACCCGATGAATGTGTTGGAAAAAATTCATTTACTGAGTAAAATAGATACTGAATAAAATAAATGTTAAAGAACGTTTAAATTTGATCTTTTCGTCCTTTCAGCTGACTTTAGGGATTTCAAAAACTTATAACAGAAATTCATTCAAAACAACGTTGCACCATTCGAATAGTCTATAATGATTTATGATAGAATGTGTTCTAATGAATGAAATTAAAGATAATGCACTTATAACAATCAACAGAGAAAATTTGAAACACATTCAAATTTGGTGAGCAGCCAGGCGAAAACTGGACAACACTGAAACCAATTCAGGCCTCTTCTGAACAATTGACTTTTCTAATGAAACCTCTCAAATTCTAAGGGAACTGCCCGACATTAAGGGAGGAAACTACGACAGTACGACGAGGCTTTCCTCGAAGGTTGGATATTACGACGGGTCACATGATATCACTTTAACATAACCAGTGTGCTGAAGTGCCATCTTTAAATGTTGGTGAGGCGCGAACACATCCCAAGCCTTCGATAAAACAAAGTTAATTGCAGGATCACAAACAGTAAAAGCGTAAAATAATAGTACCAGTGCAGCATGGGTTTCAGCCTGTATCTCTAAAAGAAAAATCATTTCCTGGAAAGCTTGTCAGTTTAATACTTGTAGTTACTTACTTTGGTAAGTAACAAAAAAATTGGATTAGAGGAACAAGGCGACATTGAAGAGTGATTAGCACGGCAAGTGCAGAGGGAAGTGATTATATACGGGACAGACCAAAAGTCACAAAGTTACGACATGAGGGTAAACGTCTATCAACCAGAAGTATAAAAAGGTTGTGGGTTGCAAGTTGTCAAATAAGAACTTTGTTTCCGTAAAGTGATCTTATGCGTTCACAAATAAACGGTGTGATCGACTACGGAAAAGCCTGTAGACAAAGGATAAACTAGCGCTCGTCTCGAAACGGTCACGTACAGAAACGAACACTAACAATTTGTAGTAGAGCGCCGCGCAGTCAACAAAAGTCACAGTACTAGCAAGCACGACAGCCGCCGAACAGTTAAGTAGTCGTTGTTGTTACATATTAACATATAATAATAAAAGGATAAATGTGAAATATTTTTGTTATAAATTTCATTTTTATACATGTAGTATGGATTTTTTGATTATGCAAACAAAGGACTCATTATTTAAAAAAATTCGTTTTCAATTTTATTGCGTGCATTTATAATATTTGAATTGAATATTCGAAACGTAATTAAAAATTTGTAAACTGTAATGCCTTTAATGAACTACATTAAACACGTAAGTACTTGAATACATACAAATATTTGTTACTTTACTTTATTTTACATTACCAGGCGTGCCTGTCCATATGCGCGGCGCTCTTTTCGAGATCCTGCATATGCATATGGCATACGTGAGAGAAGCAAACAATAAACTAGCAAGCTAGTAATAGTAAAAGTTCACATTGAAATTCAAATAAGAGATTGCAACACTTTTAACTTTTAAATTTGAGTATATATGGTGACATTCCAGTAAATTAAAAAACAATACTATTTGATTTACCTGGAGACCCAAGGCTATAATGTTCATAAACATAAAAATTCTGCGGAATGACAGGCTGAGCGCCGTTCAGTAATATTTTATTTGCATTATAAATACATTGAAAAAACATTGAAAAAATACAAAAGACATTGTAATTATTATATACGCCGCGCAATTTATTGGATGCGCGCAAGTAACAATGACTGAAGTATAAAATCGAGATCAAGGGTAATCTTTAAAAATTGAGCGTGAAGGTTATGACAAATTTATTTAATGACACTGTAAAGGTTTTTTAATAAATTTTCCTCACTTTTAAGGGATTTTTACTCAGATGTTTACTTTTATATATAGGGTTATCGTGCCTCTGAGATGATAGCTGACCGCATATCAGAAAACACGATTCAGATTTTATCTGTTAAGAAGTACACTCATTGCATTTAAACTAATTACAATTGCATTTAAACTAATTACAACACTACAAATCTATTACATTTATTGAGGTATGTGTAATGTTGAACGATAACGTGACAAGTGACATAGTGACATAGCACAGACCCGAGAAGTCCTGCTTCTCCTCTCCAGACCCGAGAATTCCTGCTTCTCCTTCCCCTCTTCACAAATCTATTAAGGGAGTCAGACCCACAAGTTCTGAACCTTTCCGGTTGGTGATTAAGTTTGATTTTTTGATAGAAACAAACCTGTTCCAGACGTGTTCCAGCCTTCGTTTTTGGTACTACATACCTAAATAACTTCATCATGGTTGAAACAATCCCAAAACAAAACGTCAATAATGCTAACACTTCCTCTACCCCCCAGAAAAAAGCTAAGACCCCAACATACCGTTGTTTAATGGAATTGTTTAAGATCATTAAGTCACGAGTACCAATTTCGTTATACTACCTATTCGGCTTATCAAATAGGAAAGATAATTTGTTAATCACGCCCTCTCCAACTAATCAATTTATGTACAAATCTGCATGGCTGTGGAACGAATTTCGTAAAGTTGGGCCGATGAATTTCACCTCCCCTTGCAGCTCTGTCAAGAATTTGCTTAAACAGTCACTTCTAAGAGCTCAAAACAGGTATGGAACTGATTGGTGTGACAAAAATTTCACTGAATTCTGAGTGAGAAGTGATACTTGCCTGTTATTCCCACTTACTGACTGATAATCTTATCTATGGATACCATGCTTAAATTTAGGTAAACAACATTTATTTTAATTTATGAACCACGTGTATAGCCAACGTCCTTGCGGTGCTGAGCCGATGTAAAACTCTTCTGTCTCTTGTTAATATTTTAGTTGTACTGTGCATAAAAGTGTGTAGTGACAAGTGTGTAGTGGTAATGTATATTATTTATTATGACGACGCGATATTTATAATGCAGAATTAAAAGCTGCTTTCGATATGACTGGTGGTGGGCTCTCTCCGGCGGGACATAGATCTATATAGGGGGTACCCGGGGTACGAGTTAACGAACAGTGTTCGTGTCCTTCCACAACCCCCTGTTACCTGTGTTTCTGTCGGGGTAGCCTAATTCATCCGTTAGAATCGCAGAGTTAGCGGAGCTCATGATATCTCGCGACGTATGCGGCATGAACGGTGCAAGACTTGCGCCGTTTGTTTCAGCATCCAGTTGCGAGTGCTTGCCCATCGAAAACATGATTAGTGATTGTGGATTTTATTGATATTACTGATTATCCATCATATTCAGTCTCTGATAGAGGCCTCCCGTTAGAGTCCGCCTATGCTGACGATGCTGAGCTTCTGAGTGAAGATGGTCAGAGCCTGGTTAAGATACTAGAGATTGCCAGTGATATACTAAAGGATTGGAGTCTCTTTGTTAACGAATCAAAGACGGTGTTTACAAGAGTGTATTTGGCAGATACAGATGCTTTAGATGCCCATGGCAATAAAATTAGAGGAGATGAAGAGTGGCGAGAGTCAGTGCTATTAGGATCAAAGCTCTGTTCAGAAAGAGATATTGTCAACAGACGCAACAAAGCCAATGTTGCCTTCTACACCTACAAGAAAGTCTGGTTGAATAGTTCTGTTCAGATCAGTGAGAGTAGAAAGCTGAAGCTGTACGAAGCTCTTGTCACTTCAGTGTTGTTGTATAACTGTAGCAGCTGGGCTGCTCCTGAAACCGTAATGGCATCTGTCGACGTTCTTCAAAGGAAGCATCTGAGACAGATAATCAACACCTATTGGCCAACGGTTATCAGTAACGAGAACTTATATAAGAGATGTAATGTCAGTCCCCTTACTGAAAGGATCAAGAAAGCACGATGGAAGATACTTGGGCACGTTCTCAGAAGCAGTGATGACACTCCCGCCTTCTTATCATTCAGATTTGCATGTTTAGGATGTTTTGACTACAAAGGAAGGAGGGGCAGACCTCGTTCAAATTTATTTGATTTATTATTAAAAGACATTATGACAAAACAAATTATTGTGATTGTAAATAAAAGATTTAATTTAAGTAATTTCAACGATTTAGTGTAAAAAGCTCATGATAGACGTCTTTGGAGAAGTTATGGGTGAGTCGAGACTACTCGGCCACTCGATTTTATGATTTAATTTCTATTATCTTGTGTTTGCTGTATATAGTTGATTAATATAATAATTCAGTATTAATGTTATCCATTATTTATTTATTGACATCTTTCAGTCTCCAAAACGAGGTGTGAAGGTAAATTAACTTTGAGCCTTGTTTTGGCGACTGATTAATCGATGGGCAAGTAGGTATTTGTTTTTTAGCAGTGTTGAACATTGAAACAATTATAAAATGTTTATTTTTATTTTATATAACGTACAATATGAATGACATATGATATAGTGACGTAACATATATAGTGCAAAGAATTAGTAACTTGCGAGATGTGATTTAATGACAATCAACGTTAACATTTTGCAGTTTACAGTTGCACAATGTTGGCGTCGATTGTTACTAACATTTATCTGAATTTAATACAAGTACATGTCACATATAAATTGGGTAGCTGAATGAAACTCGTGCCTCAAAATTTTATTATTTTATTAGCATTGCAGTGTCCACGCCCTGTACTGCGTTAACGACCGAAATTTTCCCAATATGCAATTATTATTTTGCTTCTAAAATTCTCTGATAATTAATAATATATCGTGACATGTAATTGTAAGATAACAAACCTCGCGCGCGCGGCGCTCACATCTGCACCTGAGAATCTCTCAGCAATGTGTGGCTGTCTGCGCGGCGGGCTGTGTATTGTTTATATAGCTGAATTTAAATTTAGATTTATTTGTAAATGTATAATAATATTAAATATGTATTGATTGTTTTGTGGTAAATAAAAACTTTGTTTTACTAAACTTTGTTTTACTAACAATAGTTGCTGCTGGAATGCTACGACAACTAGACACCAACCTGCTGAAAGCTGTCCAAAGTTACTTTGCAATGGAGGCAGATAGTACTGGAAGTAGTGCATATTGTACTGAAAGTGTCACAGGTATTTTAGGAGCTGCTAAAAATCTTAGTGGCTCTGGTTCTTCGGATTCTGAAATAACCTCTGACACTATCTGCTGCTTTAATGCCAGTGGGCAAATGTTATGTACCCTTTTATCTTTCGATGAGAATACCTATAAATTGTTACTACCAGCAGAACTGAAGTCTGATGCAACATATCTCTCTCCTGCTGAAATAAAAGGGTCAAACTACTTTCTCAGCTAACTTACTTCAAAGACCCTCAAAGCAACGAAATTGCTGAACTGGAGTGGATAGAACTGATCAGACCACAGATGTTAAGTGTCCTTTCTGACCATGGTATCACTCCTACTAATCAAGATACTGATCAGGATCTAAGACGCAGATTATATGGAAAGCAATCCTTTCGTAGCAGTCACGGTGCTGAGGATAAGGTGGCACTATTTGGTTTTACCTTTAGAGAACCTTTGATCTGTTTGTCCACTAGCTCCTTCTCAAAGGAGGACTACACCTACAAAACTAAACTTACAACTAGCTTCGTCACTGAAAAAGTTGAATCTGCTAAGACTCAAAGCTTAACACCTAAGCATGATATGCTAGAGTCTGGCAAAAATAACTCTGTTGAACCAGAATCGAAAGAACCTCCACAAAGATACAGGATGGAATCAAGTGAAAGGGGCACTCTATCATCAACATCATCTAGCTCACTTGTACTTGAAGGCAGTGCACCTGACATCAACGAGACGGATCAAGAAGATGGGGATGCATTCACACCTCCCAACATAACATTTAACAACAATTTTGACTACAGAATTGAATCTAGAGCTGAGGAGGGTATCAATGATACTGGTGGCTCATGTACAATCTGTAACCAAGATGTTAGCGCTGATCAGCTTCTTACATGCTATCTATGCAAACTTTCAGTTCATTACACCTGTTACGAGGTGAAACAAGTAACAGCTCACAAACAAAAGATGCGTACCCTGAGCCACACAAATTTCACAGCACTTGGAATCTCCCAGAACAACAAATGGTTTTGCAATGGCTGCAACTCTATTTCCTTTGATGATATCCTGGAAAAGATATCTCTACATACTCAGGAGAAATTCATAGATGCTGTTGAGAAAAAAGTTAAACTGGTGAATGATACTACCTCAAGTTCCCTTGAAGGAGATTTTGATATCTCCCAATTTTCACTCCCTGACTACCAAGATACGAAGTCACAGCAATCTGAACATGAGATTACCAATATTCAGCAACTCAAAGACTCCATCACAATGGAACTAAGAGCTGCACTAAAAGAAGAAGTAAAAACGTTAATCTCCGCCATAACACTATCCCATAATCCAGCTCAGAGCAAGCCCTTTACAATGTCTGCAGAAAATGTATACAAACCACCTGCATCATATTCTGAAAAGGCAAGACCACCTCACTCTCATTTGAGCACCAACACTTTCATAGAACCCCCAGTGGTCAAAGAGTTTACAAAAAAAATCAGCTAGTGCAGTGGGAACCGACTATTTAGTTGATCCCAAGATGTCTGTTATCATAAAGCAAGTCACAAACAAAAAGGTGGTGTCAAATGATACCTCACTTAAATCAGAGTTTAACAAACTGTTTAAGCAAATGAAGATAAAGTACATTAAAAAGACAAGATATGGCAACATCATTCTTCAACTAAACTCTGAGGATGATATCAAACAAGTACTAAATGGATGGCAATCCCACTATTTTAAAGACACCAGCGCAAAAATGGGCACAGCGATATTCAGAATGACTGACCAGCATCTGACAAAGCATGTAGGCATCATAAGGCATGTCCCCATAAACATTGATATGGGCTCTATCTCTGATGGACTTAATAATGCCAATTTGAATAGCACTCACGTAACTCGCTTGGGCAAATCATCAAACTCTGTTAAAGTCATCTTTAAGTCACATGAGGATCTTACACAAGCAATAAGCAAGGGATTCGGTCTTGAACACTTATGGCTAGAAGTTGCTCAATTCAAGTTCACCAAAAAACCAATGCAATGT